TCTTTTAGTCGTGTCAAGTTTTTGGCCCGTTGCCGAGGAGGTAAGTTCTTGTACAAATTATAGTATTTATTTTAGTTTCTCTTTTCACTTTTTTTTTTTTATATAACTTTGTTTCTTGTCTCTTATTTCTTCTTCTTTTATTTTTTTTTTCTTTTATTCTATTCCTACATGTGCATGAGAGTGTGGTCACGTATATAAAGTGGTAGACTTTATAGGGTATCCTCATCATTTTCAAAAAATATGGCTGAAGAAGATAATCAATTACTTCATAATGAGAATAATAAGAATAACCGTGCTAGAATACTTAGAGACCACATGAATCCCACAAGAACAAATGTACCATCATGCATAGTTTTTCCTCCCGATGCATCTCATTTTAATTTTAAACTAGGTATTATTCAACTTTTACCTTCTTTTCATGGCTTAGAATTGGAAAATCCATACTTGCATTTAAGGGAATTTGAGGAGGTCTGCAACACGTATAATGACTCAAATTGTAGCATGAACACCATCAGATTAAAGCTTTTTCCTTTTTCATTAAAAGATAAAGCTAAAACATGGCTACAATACTTCCATTTCCTGAAGCCATAACCAAATAAAGGAAAGTCAATCACAACTCTAAAATCTTTGAAACTTTCAAACAGGTAAGAATCAATATACCTTTGCTGGATGTTATTAAACAGGTTCCTTCCTATGCTAAATTTTTGAAAGATCTATGCACGGTAAAGAGGAAACTGAATGTGAAAAAGAAAGCCTTTTTAGCCGAATAAGTAAGTGTCATTCTTCAGAACAATAATGCTTTCAAATATAAAAACCCTGGTTGTCCTATAATTTCTTGCTTTATTGGAGAACATAAAATTAAAAGAGCCTTAATTGATCTTGGAGCTAGTGTGAATTTACTTCCATATTCAGTTTTTCAAGGTCTCAATTTAGGTGAGTTAAAACCAACTTCTATAACTCATTTACTTGTCGATAGATTTGTAAAAGTGCCTAGAGGAATAGTTAAAGATGTGTTAGTACAAGTCAATAAATTCATTTATCCTATGGATTTTGTTGTCTTAAACACACAACTTGTTGAAGCATGTAATTCATTTCCTGTTCTTTTAGGATGTCCGTTTCTTACAACTTCTAACGCATTGATTAATTGTAGGAATGGACTGATAAAGCTATCATTTGGAAACATGACATTGGAGATGAATATTTTCAACATTTGCAAGCAATCTAGAGATGATAATGATTTACAAGAAGTAGATCATATTGATGAATTAGTTTATGATCAACTTGAATCTACTTTAAGTAAAAATGAGTTGGATGAATATGAAGATTTGCAAATGATATATTCTGAGAAATAAATCACGGATGAAAAACGCACCGAAAATATTGATGCGGATCTTTTGTCAAAAGTGACAACAAATTCGACATCTCACATCACACCAATCGATGATTACTTTCCTAACGAATCCTTACTTTCTCTTAGTCCAATACCTTGGTATGATAAAAATATCAATTTTCTTGCTTTAGGAGATTTGCCAGCTGATTGGAGTACCCAAAATAAAGAAAAGTTTTTGAACGAAGTGAAGAACTTTTATTGTGATGACCCTAACTTATTCAAATATTGTCGTGATCAAATATTTCAAAAATTCATTCCCGACAATGAGGTAAGTAGTGTCATTAAACTGTGTCATTCTAAAGCATATGGGAGTTATTTTTCATAAAAAAAAAACAGCTATAAAAATCTTTCAAAATAGATTTTATTGGCCTACCATGTTCAAGGACATCCATGTATTCTGCAAAACTTGTGAAAATTGTCAAAAAGTTTTGTTTTATAATTCTCAACTTTATGCATTCCCTAGAGAGCTAAGATCAAGATGGAGAAATCCTTATGGAGCCTGTGATATTGAGAATTCAATAAATGACAATGTTTTTAAGGAAAATGGACATCGTTTGAAAGCTTACTTTGATAATTTTCCTAGTGAAAATAAATCAACTAGTTTGAATGATCTTGTAGATAAAGGTTGATTATTTTGTTTTTTTTACATTGTTTTTGTGTTTCTTTTTGAGTGATTTTTTGATAGTTTCTCTCACCTCGGTCAAATGGCAGACAACAGTATTCCATAACTTAAGTCGGTTCTTTTAGTTTCCCATAATAACTGATTTCTGTGTATATATTTGTGCAATTCTTTGAATCTCTCTTCCAATTCTCATTTGAAAATGGACACTAATCTTAAAAAATTGAAAAAGTATTTTCCCGCTCTGACTCAAAATGCGATTACAAAAATTTATCGTGCTAGATGTGTAAGATTGAGATTGTTAATGAATCATGGAATTCCTAAAGATATTCGTTGGTTGATTGAAGCAAAGGTCCGATTATCAGGTGAGTCCTTTAATTCCTTCATTTCATTATCAGGTGAGTCCTCTAACTCCTTCATATCACACATGTCGGGAACAAGTAAAAGCACTTTTGCAAAGAAACGTCGTGCAAAACGACTGAAAGTCTGTCATCGATGTGCCAGATAGACTTGTAATGCACAATGTCGTTCTTTAGAAATGATATCTATAAACCGTGAACATAAAATACAATTCATTAAGGATGACCTGAGTAAGGAGAGTTTAGATAATCTTCTATTAACTCTTAAGACCCATCCTAGTGGAGATGTGCATTGTGGTTATTATGATAAGTTGTTGTCTTTTCAAATTCATGATTTATAGCCCCACTTTCTAACATCTTCTGCACGACAAATCATAATCTTTATTGCTACTGCTGAACAATTAATTAACCAACTACAATCTTTCATTCCTGTGATTGATCCTTCCATGAGTTGCATAAATTGGTCATCTAAGGGAAGCCGTAAAAAGCTTAAATTAGATTTAAGCCTTCATTTGTGAATCTTTATGTCTTTTGGTTTTATTGTTGTGTTTTGTTGTTTCCTATATTTGTTTTAGTGTGTTTCAGGTTTGTTAGTGTTCGTTATTTCAGGTGATATCTTCTATACTCTATCTTTCTACCTTAGAATATTGAGGACAATGTCTCATTTTGGTTGGCGGGAGAGGATAGTAGCTAAAAAAAAAGAAAAAAATAAATGTATTTTCTATTTCATAAAGCATGTGCAAAATTGCTGTTACTATGATGGCAGAGTAAAGGAGATCTTTTTATAACTCTTGAGACGCATCTTAGTAACCATTCTTAATAAGGTCTATCATAATACTTCTTGAAATATTCAGGTTTACAAACTCTTACATTACTATCACTTAATTCTGCTCATATACTCATTTAACATGTATTCTTAAACCTTAATTTACGCACACACACTTTAACATATGATTGTGGGTTGTATAATAGTTTATTACATTATTTATGTTCTTTTATTAAGGGAAAAGGGATAGTATATAATTAAAAAAAGAAAAACATAAAAACAAAAGGAATGATGATAATAAAAATATAGATAAGTTTGGTTTCGTAGCATCCCTAACCTAAGCAATTAAGCCCGAAGGGGTGTTTTAACACTTAATACCTTAAAGTCAACTGACTTGGGAGCTATTGGCCCAACGCTTGTTACATAGGTTGAGGAGAAAAGCTTAAGGGAATCAAATATTGCACTATCTACATATCAATATCTACGACCCGAGTTACTAAGCTCGTAGGAGTGTCTCAACACCTAATGCCCTAAGACCAACTGGTCTGGGAGTTATTAGCCAAAAGCTCGTTACATGGGTTAAAGATGCATGGTGTTTTAAGTTATATGTATATATATTTAAAAAAAAAAGAAAAAAGAAAGAAAAAAAATAATAATCTCAACTCAAGGAAGTTAACCTTAAATATTAGAACAAAAATTTTGTTTTCTTCTAAGAAAAGCTCCATAATTATATGTTGATATATTGAGTATAAAAGAAAGGTTTATTAATATCTTGTTAAGAGGTATTGAGCAGATATATAAATTTAATAAGAGTTTGTTTATCTAGATAGATTATTGGAAGTTGAATGATGAATACCTTGCTTTGTGGAATTTGCAAATTGTTTTTCTAATTTAACGCTTTGATTACTAGAGACTAGTAATAAGATGGTTGGGAGGTGTGATTAGTACTTAAAAGTGCATTTTTATCACGGTTTTATATTATCATTTTGCACTCGAAGTATCAATAACTCCTTAACTAAAACATGTTTTATAATTACGTATCTAATAATATAAGATACCTTTAATTTATGGTAAATGTTCATTTTAAATGCAGGCCTATCACCTAAATAAAAGGATTGATTGATTAATTTAATAAATAAAATTAAAATGACAAAGAGATGGCCAAACTTAAAAAAGAGATGTCGGTGCAATCCAAACCGGAACACTATTCGGTAATTGGATCATATTTAGAGTTGTAGATCTCAGATTTAGGTCTACTTTATATGGATGGAAAGGTAAGACATAGGTCTACAACTCTCATATGGGGCCTAAGATCTAAAAAGGCCATTTTCAAGTCCAAATTGTAGCAACAACAAGGAAGCCCGAATCTGTCTTCCAGCCCAAGCACTGTTCAGTATTTGACCAATATCTAGAGTTCTAGAAGTCCAAATGAGCTGAAGTTTTTACACAAGAAAGCTGAGACAATTTTCTATAACTTTCATGTTTCAAGTGGCTCCAATTTTGATGTTATCAATGACGTTTTGGGTAGACAAGAGAAGATAAGGATTGTCACCAAGTCAAGAGTTGGTCACCCACTCATCAATTAGTCATCAAATCAATAGTTCCCAATTTTGGCCTATAAAATAGTCATCAAATCAATAGTTCCAATTAGTCATCAAATCAATAGTTCCTAATTTTGGCCTATAAAAGGAGGCATTTGCCATGCATTTAGTCATCTTGGTTTCCAGATTAAGATCATGCTCTTACTTTCTCTTTTTATATTTTTTGTAATGTTTATGCTTTTCTTTCATTAATATCAAGTTTATGCCTTTCATTTCATTTCCTTTACTTAGTTAACTCTTATCTTATTTATATTCTTATTTTGTTTAATTATTTTTCTTTTTTTTTTATTATGTCTAGCTAAGTTTATTATGTCAAGGTAAAAAGGTTACATTAATGGTGTAAGAATAAGTATAGTGTAAACTTAATATGGACTTTAATGTTTGATACTAGGTGTCGGTTATACCATACAAACATGTTTTGTATTTGTTATCTTGTTCACTCTTTAATACTTTGCTTGTTAAATGACTAATCTTGACTTATATTGTATAACACTTAGTACAACAAATGCTTGACACTTTCATAGCCCATACTATATGGTATAACCGACACCTGAGCTATGAAAGGAACTTGATTTGTTGTGAACATAAGTTATAATCATGAATGCTTGACGAGATTTATAAGTATTAGCATTAATCGAATAAGATGACTAATGTAATCATGTTAACAATATATAATCTGATTGGAACCTCCTTTGTGTGTGATTTCCAATTGAATAATAAAAGTTTATACTATACTTGTTTGACATACCATTAGTGGATCCTCTAACCTTGACATTTGTTATTATCATTATTTAATCCTTACATTAATATTCCATCTCCAAGTTCTCATCTTCTTCTTCTTCTTCTCTTTCTTTATTATTATTACTACTACTACTACTACTACTACTACTACTACTACTACTACTACTACTACTACTACTACTACTACTACTACTACTACTACTATATTATTATTGTTGTTATTACTATTGTTGTTGTTTATAATTGTTGTTTATAATTTGTACAATTAACCTCGCTGTGGTTCAACCCGGTCTCGCCCGATTATTTATTACTTCGACACTACTGCATTTGGGAGAATGACACGACGAAAAGATTGATGTCTTCTCCCAAGTGTAGGAGTGTCGAAGTAATACATAACCTGGCAATACCGGGGTTGAACCACAGAGAGGTTAATTGTACAAATTATAAATAACAACAACAACAACAACAATAATATTAGTAGCAATAATAATAATAATAATAATAATAATAATAATAATAATAATAATAGTACTAATAATAGTA